CCAATGCCCACAGCCACTCGCCTGCTGTGCTTGTTGCGCTGGTTGTTTTTTTGATGACCATTTATTCCGACATGATTTTGCCACATGGCTCTTGGGTCACAACGAGGGCAGCATGTCACCAAAAATAGTCCAGTCTTGCGCATTCTATTTGGACTTGATTCAACATGCGAAACAACAGATAGCTATTTAAAATACAGGGCCTCAAATGATTACTGGAGTTCAAGGCCAATGCACTGATATGTTGAATGTTTGTGTTCTAGTGTTTTGTCTGGGCTGGGGAAGAAGCCTGAGACATTCTGCCATGGGGGCCAAAGTGTACTATCACAGGCGCGGAGCTGCTGTTTGGGCAGAACGCATCCAAAACAGGAATATATCATTTATCCATGCTGTTTCTCTTTCAAAATAATGCGTAGTTTGGAGTGTTCTACGTCATCTGTACCAGAACTCTGCTGCCAATTCCTCAAGTCCTGTCTCAGACAAAAACAAAGTTACTGGGAGTTCAAGGTATTAAGAAAATTAAACCACACAACATGTCAAACTCTTACACAAAAACATCACCTTAACCTTTTAGGTATATTAATGATGCCATTTGTTAAAATAACGAGTTCATGAGAATGACATTATTGTTACATTTGAAATGTAGCATGAAATAATGCCCATCTTCTAATAAATGACATTACGGCACGTTTAACACATGCCATTCACATTATTGAAATATTTCTAATACAGTGGGCTTCATCTTATTAATACTTGCCCAATGGCATTTTGCTGCTTAGAAAATCTGTGAATATACTACAAATAAAACTGAACACCAGCCCAGTCTGGAGAATACAATATATAGGGGACTCACAGCTTTTGAGCACTCTACTGCCATAGGCAACTAAACTAATATCCCCACTATTATGAAGAGCTGGCTTTTATGTTAGGGAATGTCACACAATATGAGAACAAAAGGTAAGGGGGCAAAATTAATTACCATAGGTGACATGCAGTTGGAATAAATATGAAATATTTGTAAAACTGATGGACTTGGGGCAGCGTGGCCCCTATGTGGAGGGGGTTTGTCACGTGTTGTCCTAATGAGCACTCACATGTGAATAATACATTTAAACAAGTGCCAGTCTTTCAAACTGCAAATAAAGTCAATCCAACTGCAAGAAAATCAATCACTGGGTTGATGTTTGGAAGATTAGAAATGGGGTAGTTCACCACATTGGAAGGGCATGTGAAGAATGACAGGCACCCATTCCCGAAGAAATGTTGTGGTGTTTTTTATCTTCAGTTTCGTATGTCTAAATACCTTAATTTGAAATACTGAAACCCAACTTTTAAAGGCTGGTCATGTGCTCAGCATAAAACCACATTTTAACCTTCTGCAAATGTACCTGTTGAACACATTTTACCTGTTTAATTCCTCAGTTTAATCACCCTTTAATGGCTGATAAGCCTTCATCTAGGTCACTGTGGAACGATTGTGGTAAATGTATATTTAATTATTTATACACTGCTTCAAGTAAATAAGTGCTTAACCTGCATTTTGACCCCATTAATATCTGGTGATTTTCCAGGAAAATCCTCACAGTCTGCCCTTCTGTTCTCCCTGCTTCCTACATCCATATGATGGTCTCTTATGGGACTCGTTTGTTTATGAGTAGCTCTTCACATGGGAACAGCAACCTAAACTGAATTCACAGGCAAAAAGGTCCTTAGAACTCAGGAGGTATAATATCGTTACATAACAGTGGTTCTTTACAAACAAATGTTTAAAAATCTGTCTTTTTAGTTCTTGTTACAAGTTTATGGTGATTTTCGGTCATCCATTTCATGCCCATAGGTGATAAAATTATAGTGGAATTATAGCCAAAACAATGCTTAAGTCTGATCAACGAAGCCAAGTAATTTTTTTATGACTTCTATAAAAAGCAGATTGGAAAACATGCAGTGTTAACATATAGGTTTTACACAGGCCAAATTGTTGGCCACTTTGGCTGTTTTACTTGTGCTGGAGTGAGTATACAATAGTACTTCTTGTAATTAACAGACTGAAACAACATGTTTGAGAATATTTGTCATTACAAGGGCTTACTGGAAGTCTACGGTATCAGACAAGGTTTATGCTGGAATGGAAGCCAAGAGGACAGTGGCAGTTATCAGGTCGGAACAAGCCTGTCGGAGCCAAGTTTACTGGAACAGTCGAGCTTGTCTCGTCTGATTCGACAGTCTCGTTGGAAGGGGAAAGGAAGCATGGCAGCCTATAGCATTGTTCCCTGCCACAGGAAGGAGCTGGCCCTGTCCTGCTAGTATATAATAGCAGCAGGAAGGGTTTGGATGGTGCGATTCAAATGCTCATGAAAATGGCACAGTGCTGCAGCAGCCCGCTTCCTCTTTGGTTGGCTGCCCGTGCCGCACTGGCAGAGCGAGCCCTCTTATCGCCTCTCGCACTGGCAGAGCGAGCCCTCTTATCGCCTCTCGCACTGGCAGAGCGAGCCCTCTTATCGCCTCTCGCACTGGCAGTGCGAGCCCT